CAAGGCAGAATCATAAAATATAGAATAGCTAAAAACAAAAGTAGCAAATTCCCTGGATTCTGAACTTATTTAATTGTTTACAAATTATTTTTGAAAATACACTGTCTCTGGCAACAAAAGGACATGTATTATTTTCTTATACATAAATAGTGAACTAGTTTCTCTTCCTGTCACTTCAGCACATTTCTAATCCTCCTCCTGGCAAATGAATAAAACAAAACCTTGACTGATAGTAGCTAAGATGATACTTTATAGGTTACTGAGTGAACAAGCATTCTGTCCAAGGCTACTATGGGTAGCCTTGGGTCCTATGCCCTCCTGTCTTTTCAGTGATCTTATTTCCTCAATTGTCCCCCTTTTTCTCCACCTCATCCAGCTCTTTCCCAGTCAAGTCTCCTTCCATCTTTATACACATACACGCACAAAGATCTCCTAATCCAAGAGCCTTGTTGCTATCATTAGATATTTTTCAACCAGTGTAGCAATGAAGGAATAGAGGACTATCTATAATCATGATGGCTGCTTGCCTAAATCTCCATGTGCTTCCTCAAACCACAGCAGTCAGGATAGTGCTCCAACAGTAACAATAAACTACTCCCATTAAGGTCAACAGTTTTATTGTTTAAACAACTCACCTTTGATATTGACCACTTGCTACTTTTCAAGCCTTCCTACTTCTTTCTTCTAGGACATCAGTCTGTGGTTTTCTATTTTCCTGGTGATTCCCTCCACAGGCTGTCCTTTGCTTGCTGCTAAATTGTCAACATTCTTCAGGCTTTAAACCCCAGGGCTCACCCCTTTACCCCCCTCAGCTGATATCCTCTTTTTCCTGCCAATGATTAAGATTAGAGCTCCCTTGAGAGCTTTGAACGCTTACATCTAACTGTTCGTTAGGTACTTTCCCCAGGACATGTCATACCACCTTGAACTCAACATGTCCCAAATGAACCATTCTCTACGATAATGGCCTTCCTCACCAGGACATATGCTATTCCTCCTATATTCTGTACCTAAATAAATTTTACTGCCTAGCTCCCAAGCCAAAATCATAAGAGTAATCTCAATTTTTCTCTTCACCTTTAGCCAAATTATCAAGTCCTCTTGATTCTTCCTCAATATCTCTCTCCATGTACGTGTTTCCACTATGACTACCTTCATTCATTCATTCAATAAATATTTGTTGAGCCCCTCTGTGTGTCAGATATTGTTCTGCATATCGTGAGCCTAAAGGTAACAGACCAAAATCCCTTTCCTCCCTCTTGGAGCTTACAGTCTAATGGAAGAGGTAATAAGTAAAACATAAGCAAAATATACAGTACGTTAGTTACCCATAGTGTTAAGGAAAGAAGGGAGGGAAGGAGGGATAGGGGAGCAGGGTAGGAAAGGAAGGAGGGATAAAGAGGGAAGAAAGGAAATATTGGGATAAAGAAACTTAACATTTAAGACAGATTAGCCCGGGAAGGTCTGATGAGGAAACAGCCATTCTTGAGCACCTGGTGGGTTCAGTTAGTTAAGTATCAAGCCTTCTAGCTCAGGTCATTATCCCATAGTCCTGGGATGGAGCCTTGAATTAGGCTCCCTGCTCAGTGTGGAGTCTACTTCTCCCTCTCCTCCTCCCCACCCCCTGGATCCTGCTCTTGCACACACACACTCTCTCAGTGCCAAGTAAATCTTAAAAAAAAAAAAAAAAAAAAAAGGCTGGAAAAAAATGTTTGGTTTATCTTAAGAAAATAAATCAGACAAATGTATAAAACTACATGTGTGTATGTGAGAGACTATGAGGATATTCTTCATTTAACTATTTATATTAATGAAAAACTAAAAACGAAGTTTAATAGGTAATGAAATATACTAGGATATATCCACTCAATGGGATGTATGCAGCCATATTTAATGACATTAACAAAATGTTCATAATCCTTTAAATTAAAACAAGTCACAAAACAGAACAAGGATACATTTTAAGGGGAGAAAGACATAAACATGCATAAAAACAAAAGGTTGAGAATAGAAGCCAAAATGTTAACTTTTGTTATCTTTGGGTGTTTTTTTTTTTATTTTTGCTTTTGCCTTTTAAGGCCTATGTGCTTTCTAGGCTTTCTACAAGAAATATTTATAACAATTTTAACAAAGGAATAAAGTGTTTTCATATGAATGAGTTTATCAATAAATGCGAAAAAATAGGAGAAAAATATCACCTAACAGAATCAGAGACTATGGCAGTTCTTAGTGTCCATTAGTGTATATATTTTTCATAGTATGCTTCAAATGGTTAATGAATTGGATTTTGCCAGCAAGTCTGATTTTATAAGCTCCATACCGTATGTACCAACAAGCCAACCCTAGCCAACACTTCATAGAGCAAGTCTTCCTTCAGAAGGAGGATATTTGTTTTACAGCTGAAATCTTACTCTAGTAATTAGAAAACAGATGAGCACGTTTCATTTCTAGGAATTTTTATAAAGCTACTGTTGCTTGAAGTATATTTTTCCCCTCTATGATAGAGCAATAATCACCTATGTAAACAAAATGTGGATAGGATTTCAACTTCTAAATATGTGACAGCTTTTCCAATATAACTCCACCTCCTCACCTCTGAACAGAATACAAACAACAATGGAATATATGCAAAGTATGGGGGATAAAGCAAATAATCAGTATGAAAGAACCATAGCCATCCAAAGTCCCATAATGAAAAATTAAATAATTTTCCACTTTCACTTTGATTCACAGGAGTCTTAATAAGCCCTTGCCACTTATATAAGTAATGATTTCCTCTAAGTCAGTAAACTGTAACATCGATTGCATTCACTTACTATAAGTATATCCATAGCAAACCTGTTCTCACATGTAAATTCCCTTTCCAAGGCTGATTTACAGTCACTGCTCTCCTTTCTAAGAGGTAAACTCAGCCAAAATGTGCTTGTTAACCCTTGCCTGGATGTATCTCCAACGACGACCCTTTGAAATGCTATGGAGTATTGCTGAGGTAGCTGTCCAAACCAATTTGCCTGGGACAGTCCTGGTTTACACTAGTGTCCCTGCATAGTTATTAAAAGATTTGTCAATTCCTAGGGCTGAGTGACACATTACAGAGCCAGCCGACTGTCTATAAACAGGATGTATAATGCTAGGCCTAGAACTTGGAATAACTGCCAGGAGCCACCTAATTTTATCTTCCTTGTGCGTGGATATGCACCAAATATTCATGGACTCCGATCCCGCACAACCCCTCCCCAACCAGTTAGTCTAAAGCAATCTAAATAGGAATCCATTTCAAGGTAAACCTATCCATCCATGGAAGTTTAAAAAAAAAAAAAAAGCTATGGGAGACATTTACTAGGATAGCCCCCAAATCACACAACTTAACAAGGTACATCCTTGCAAAAATTAACCAGCCTGTTGATACACGTTTGGATTAATGATTACATAGGCAGAACTCCCAATAAACTTATGAACAAAAGTAGGTCTGAATTTCCTCTGAGCCTATCTATTTCTATCTCTGCTAATGGCAAAATTATTCACCTTGCAACCTTAGGATCAAATTTGATTCTCTCTTTTCACTCTCTGAAATTAGTTACTAAGTCCCATTGATTCGTTTTTTTAAAGTTCTGGAATTCATTATCCACTAACCTTTCATCAGAACAGATTTCTAACTTGCAGTTGTTACAGGAGCCTTCCTCTACTTTCTATCCTCCAATTTATCTCCCCACTGCTGCTACAATCATCCAGAACAAAACAACCTCCCCAGGCCTCCTCTGCTCAAAACCTGCAGGTAATATCCCAGACTAGTTGGCCTGGTACTCAAGATCTTTATCAGTTCTCCATTCCAACCACTCTTCCTACTAAGCACATATGACTCAACGGTTCTCATTCAGGGATAGTAATGCTCCACGAGGAGGGTTTGATAAAGTTTGGGGACATTCTTACTCATCACAGTGATTCATGGGCACAAAGGACATTCGTCGACAGGGACTGAGAATACTAAGTGTTCAGCAATGTAGATTAAGTTGCCTTGCCAAAATACCAATAGCATCCCAGATGAGACTTGTTGTTCCCAACCACATTATTTTTAGACATGTGTGGCTCCTTCTTTCTAGAATCTATTAGTTCTTTCTCCTTCCAAAATAATATTGACCTTAGATGATTCCATTCAAACTCTCCTCTTATCTAAAGACCTTGACTGATTTCATAGTCATATACACAGTAGTAATGGGAGAAACTTATTACCGTAACGTACTGCTTGCCTGCTGACACAGTTTAGTGTACTGAATTAAGATTAAACTTCTTACCCATTTGTCATTTCACTCCATGTTATTTTTTCCTTATCCCCTCTATGCCCTAACATTTAAGCCCCTTAAATAAAGGGATGTTTCTGTGACATCTCACTTTTTTTAAACTCCAACTTCTGCTTACCTAGAAGTTGAGAATCATTCTATAAGTGATTTTTGGAATAAAAATCATTCCTGCATGCCTATGTACAGAATGCCAGTCCTTAGTAACTTTTTTGTAGTTGTTAAACTTAGAACTCAGAATACTCTAAGGTAAACTAAATATTTTAGTTATATCTTATCAGCAACGGTGCTTTACAGAACCTTAAATGTATTAGATTATAGATTAGACCAAACAAGGAATTACAAACTCAGATAAAAAAGGCAAAAGAAGCCATAGACACTGTAGTAGAGAGAATGTTACCAAGATATTTAAATTCCTTGGGGATTTTGAGGGTGGGGGGTGCTAAGTATGCTTTACAAAGATCTGCTAACAAGCTGTGTTTGAGATGATTGTTATGCAAATACTTAAATAATCTTTAAAAAATAGTGTGTGTGCAATATACTTCTAGACAAAAGATAAGTGTCTTTATCCTACCCACTCAAGTTTAAGCTTAGGCTATTTCTGTAGCATATTAAAAGTAAACCGTTTTTTCAGCCCAAATTTTCAACTTAGCTCCCCCCTAAGTTGCATCAACAGTAAATAGTATATAAAAGTCAACTGCTCACTTGCACATCTGTTCATATCTGGGGCTCGGTGTCCATAGTACCCAGATGGACAGGAATGCAGGCATTCTCCATACTGGCGCATGCCTTCTCTTCGAAGAAAGAAGAACAACTTCTGTTGACATCGGCTGCACCCATTGTCCTTTGAACAAGACAAACAACCCTTGCAAATGGGATTTGATACATAACTAGCTGTAAAAGAAAAACACAAAACACATGTTCAAACATAAATATGATCAAGATGTCTAGTCAATACAACATGGTGAGAAGACAGGTGTCTCTTGTCCTTCTCGAATCACATAGAAATGTGCTAAAAACATTCTCCCCCCTCCCCACCCCCCAAAAAAAAGATTAATTCACAACCAAACTTAGAAACAAAGGAAACTCAGGGTTAGAGCTGAAACTGAATGGCTCACAGAGATGTTAGACCAGAGAGGCAGGCCTCATGGGAGGGTCTTGAATCCAGGCCAAGAAATATGCATATGAAGACCAGACACATAGATCTCTTTATATAGACTGGAGTTGTGAGGGCTGTTTGGACGTAAAACAAGTACTAGAAGCCTTCACACCTCAATTTACCAGAGATGAGGATTTCAACCACAGATTAGGGCTATAGGGTAGGTGAGCACTGTAGAGAGAAAAATACAATCCATGAGCAACAAGAACCCCAAATCTGCAATACATCTAAGTATGGGATCCAAGTTCAAATTATCAGTGTAGAGTCAGTAAATCAAGAAGCTAACATTAAAAAAAAAATTGATCCATGAAAACCTACAAAGAAAAAAATATGAAACCACCCTTAAGAAATTTTCTACAATTCTGAGACCTGGAACTTGTATGGAAAGCCACCCTCACATCAAAACAAACCAACAACCTGGACCAGCAAACCTTTATGAGGAAGAATCACCAGTCTCAGAGATGCATCTCACACCTAAAGATTCAGTAATAACAGAACTATCTGAAAGTCTTTAAAATGATTACCTTCAGAATACTTGAAGAGATAAAAATTAAGATTAGAAGTCACAGGGGAAGAAGCAATAGCATATGACTGCATTATAAAATGAAAATTCTAAAATAAAAAAAAATCTATGGAAAAATAGAATAGTGTAAAAGAAAAATATTTAACCAGAAAAAAAAAATTAACCAGAAAACAAGTTTAAATAACTGTAGCACCAAACACAATAAAGATGAAAATGTGAAAAACGTAAAACGCCTGTAAAAAGAAAATGAAAAAGTTTTAATGCACAATCAGATGTTACAGAATTAAGAAATAGAGCATGAGTAAGACATAATATCCAAAGAGATTGTGACTAATCAGGTTCCAGATTGAAAGGGATGAATTCTTTAGATGAAAACTTCAGAGATCTGAGTAGATCAGTAAAAACAAGACTGCATCTGAACACAATGTATTTATAACGAAAGAATGAAGTCAAACCAGACAAACATAACCTAGAAAGGAATGTTTACCTCTAGGTAGACATTCAGGTATCTCATCAGCAATAATATACACTACCTTCAACCTGTTAAGGGAAAAGTATCAAACTATAACAACAATTCTATAAGCAATTAAATGATAGTTTAAGAATGACAGCAAAAGGGATGCTTGGGTGGCTCAACAGTTAAGTGTCTGCCTTCGACTCAGGGCATGATCCCGGAGTCCCAGGATCAAGTCCCACGTTGGGCTCCCCGCATGGAGCCTGCTTCTCCTTCTGCCTATGTCTCTGCCTCTCTCTCTCTCTCTCTCTCATGAATAAATAAAATCTTTAAAAAAAAAAAAAAGAATGAGCTCAAAATAAAGCGAAGGAATTTATTAATCACTCGCCAAAAGAATAAACTGTACATTGGAGAAATTAGAATGGAACTCAGAAGGAAGTAAAACGTAATAATCAATAGTGACCAAATCAACTAATATGTTGGTGTCTATGAAAACTATCAATTTTTAAGAAGTAATGATCAATTTCCACGGTTTAAAAATACATATTTTTAAAGGAGCTTATTTTTTAAAAGATTTTATTTATTTGACAGAGAGAGAGAGAGTGTGTGCACACAAGCAGGGGGAGTAGTAAGCAGAGGGATAGGGATAAGCAGGCTCCCTGTTGAGCAGCGAGCCCAAAGTGGGACTTGATGCCGGGCCCCCAAGGCCATGACCTGAGCTGAAGGCAGACACTTAACTGACTGAGCCACCCAGGTGCCCCAATAATACATACTCTATATTTAACAGTAGTAACATGAAAGACTTGAGGAGGGAAAGCAAAGTTAAAGCATTCAAAGTTTCTATATTTTGAATGAGGAAGACCAATATAAATTAAACCTCCTTAAGTTAAATGTACTTGTTAAAACTCTCAGTAGCAACCACAAAAACGGGAATAGTTAACTGCTAAACCAGTGACAACCACAGATGTAGTAAGTGTACAAAATAGGAGGTTACAACCTAAATGTCTGTGACCAGGAGAATGGATAAATTGTGGTGTATTTTAATGATAAAAAGAATTAGACGATGGACACATAACCAAACAGGAATGAACTTATATACACTATACTGAACAAAGGAAGCCAGACCAAAAAATGAAAATGTTCTGTATAATTCTATTTATATTGATGTCAAGGATACGATATGTGAAGCTAATCTGTGGTGACAGAAATTAGAACATGAAATGCCTTTGAGGGTTTGGGACTGACTGGAAAGGGGTGTGCAGGAACTTTTGGCAGGTGTATTTGTTTCCTAGGGCTGCCTTAACAAATTACCACAATGTGGTGGCTTATACACCAGGAATTCATTCTCTCAATTCTGTGGACTGAAGTCTGAAATCAAGATGTCCATAGGACCATGTTTCTTCTGAAGCCCCTAGGGAACTTGGTGGCCCCTCCTGGTGGCCCCAGATGTTCCTTGGCTTGTGGCAGCTTATCTCCCATTTGATTCCATCTTCTCTATGTATCTCTGTGTGTCCTTTCTGTCTCTCATAGAGACACGGTCTTTGTATAAGGGCCCACCTTAATCCAGTAGGATCTTCTATCTGTCCTTACCTTCATTTTATTTGCAAAGCCCCTATTTTCACATAAGGTCACATTCTGAGGCTCCAGGTGGACATGAATGAGAGCAGGGCTTGGGGGTGCAGACCCTATTTAACCCACTACAGGAGGCAATAGAAATGTTCTAACCTTGATTGGATATTGGCTACACAAGTGTAGGTATTTTCAAAACTGTCCATTTTTATAAGTAATGTGCATAATTTATAAGTAATTTGTATCAATTTTTAAAAAAATAAAACAGTGGATAGGAAGGCCATACACTAACTTCAGGGTAATGTAATTGTAATTACATCTCTTTCAAAGATTCTATACATTAAGTTAAATGCTCACCTATAGGATATTCTTTACTTTTATGAATTGTTCTTAAGTAACAATAATTCATTGGAGGGACAAAGTGGGAGACTACTAAGTGTTGAAATAGCATCTGAAAGTTGATATGTAAACTTTATAGGAGTGTGCTACATCTAATGATGAAAAGAGTAATTTAAGAGAAAAAAATACTGTTTCCAGCCCTGGTATAAAATTAAAATGGACATAATCTGACATCCCAACATAATTTCTGAAATGTGAAAAATTTAGTTATCCCTATACCAAGCAAGATTATAAATCTAACAGGATGCATTATTCATTCACTCATTCATTTTATCACACTCACTTCAGTTTATCAGGTTCACTCAGAAGAAGGAAGAGAAGGAAAACTCACCAATTATTGAAACTTTTAGTTTTAATGCCATATCCTATTTGCCCTACATAAAATTTTGCATATAAAATTAACATCAAGCCCTAGGTATTCAGACCAGCAGCTATACAACAAAGTACACTGGATACCATGCCCTTCCTTATAATCATCCAACACTTGAATATTTACAGCTACTTGTAGCAGATCTAACCAGGTTTTAGTTCCACAGGATGCTCTCCCTGCTTCTCCTGAATTACCACAGCCCTGACTTGATCTTATAGCTTCTCTTCTGGGGAGAACCCAAAACAGGAGTTTGGCTCCCTTTCCAAAAGGTAAAACAAAGAACTACCAAGTCAGTTAGAACCAGGAATCAGAACCAAGATTGCCCTTTGAAATGGCCATTAAGATTTGCTTCTTTCCACCTACCACCAGAATTTGTTCTATCAACTGTTCAACTGCTTGTATCTGCATACTGAATCCATTCCATGGACATTCTCTTGCTTGCAAAACTATTGATGCTTCCCACACAGTTTCTTATTTATTACCACATTTTCTAAAATCTGCAACTGGGGAGGAAAAAAGAATCAATACAGATGAAAAATTACTTCCTCAGAATTCCTAATAAAATTTTAGGAGACTACTTTCTAGACATGTATATGTGTATGTAACATAACTTGTATTTTCCATAACTGAACATGCTTGCCTTGTATCATAACTTGCTCAATTTCAGCCAAGTAGGGAACATCTCTTCATAGCAATGAAAAAGGCCAACATCACTCTCATTTATTTTTCAAAGTGTCAGTTCTAACTTCTGCCTCAATTTACCGCAATCACCCATTTAGTTATCCCCAAAAGTACTTTTTTTGGAAGACCACAACCAGTTTTCTAATCCTTAATTCAAGACCTCATTCTCCATTTCTGATCCTCACAACTCCTGTAACCTGGATCATTTCAGAAAGTTTTATTCCTCCTCTGGCTTCCATGATAATGTCTCCTCCTATACACTTAATCCTAATTCTCACTATTCTGATTTCCACTAATCCTCTCCTAACTCAGACCCTTATTACTTCTCACTAAGACCATTATAGTGCCCCAACCCCATACCCACCTCTTTTGCATTCTACACTCTATTGTTGATTTTCCTGCTTTTATGTTCATTATAGGTTTTCGGTTATACCTTATTCTGACACAGTAATATTGATTTATAAAGTCTTTTCACATAGCTAAATGAAAAGAAGTCTGTACTATTTACAATTTCTCCAGCTGCCTTCTAGAGGGATTCTATCCTGATATTATTATTTGTGTCCTGAGCAAGATGTAAGGAATAGGTAAGTTTCAAAAACTGGGATAGAGCTCAACCTTTCTGTTTAAGAAAGGGGTGAAAACTGGAGAGAGGGTAGGCAGGGGGCAAAAAGCTGGGTGAAAGGAACAGGACTGGAGTCCTCAGTAGCTGTATGATGGACAAAATGACTTTGGTGGGGGT